GCTATCTACATCTACATTGTCTCACAAAGGACCTTGGTTTTCTACTTTGGTGATCATGTCATGACACATGTTTCTTTTTACTCTTTCAGCTATAGGACGAAACCTAATTCCAAGGTACTTTCGCAGCATATTTGAAGGTGGAGTTAAAGAACTGTACTATCATGTGGTGCAGCCGAAAGAGTCCTTCCACAATAACACAAGTACAATCACGCTGGACTGTGAAAATACCACTATGGTTACACATCATAAATCTCCAGTCTTCACAAAGGTTTGTAGTAAACCTTCATACCCAGGTATGCGCAGGTGCATGTAAGGTAGTAATTATAGTAACAGGAGCAATTGGAGCACTATTCAGAAAGTAATCAGGCGATTAATTTCAAAGTCAGATAAGTGCCCAGCACGGGGTCAGTTTGAAATTATGAACACAACATTGTTGTCTGAAATGAACAACACATGATCCAATTACTAATTGATCATATCAGTGACAAATTTCTAGTAAGATTAAGTAGTCTTGAGAAACTTCGTATTAGTTAACAACTGCATCGCTGAATGGAGGTTGGGTGCCTGACACATTCAGGAGCTTCCACTATTGGCAGCCAGCTCCTAGATGGAGGCTGCTCCCATGGCTGGCAAATCCTGGAAACCGAGCCATGAGCCCCCACGCAGAAGACGAGACAGGCACCTGTCACACTGAATTAACAGTGGAAAGAGGGAGGGAAGAGAGGGGGAATGCTTGAAGATGTGCTCCTGTGCAAAACAATGCTCACTTTAAATGCTATGGCTGTGAAGGCCGTCAACACACATCTCTGTACAGGAGCACATGGAATCCTGGCGCATGGACATATCAACACACCACTGACCACTACGGGAACGAAGGCGCTCTTTGTTGCTAACTGTGTTAAATTGCATTTAACTGCATCAAAAAAAGTCAGTAGTATTTTTCATGAGTTTTACAGCCAGTATTATGCATGAATGTTGTTAACACACCTTTTTGTGATGTTTGTTACACCTAGGTCTGCACTGAGGGCCGTCTGTTACTAGAATTCACATTGGATGATCTTATGAGGATACGTAACTGGCATTTTGCCATCCGGCATTACACAGAAATGATCCCACGGAATGTGATCGTCCGGACTCAGGATCCAAACGTTCTGGATCAGTTGTCTAAGAACATCACAAGACATGGGATGACGAATGTCACACTCAATTATCTTAGGGTAAGAATAAAATAATATTAGTACTCCGTAAAATGAATGCTGGACATTCAGTGTTCTCCTTGAGCAGTCAAGGTCAGAGAAAATGGCTGTCTAGTAGTCTTGGGTGTAGTGGCTACTCCTGAGATGAATAGAATTTTACAAGATATATAAAGAGATATTAATTTCGAACAATATTAGGGTTTCAAATAATCCTGAATTTGACAGAAAACTTAGAAAGATAGCAAAAATCGCAAACAAGCAAACTACTTTTGGCTCAGCAATGGTTAGCGGCGTGTACTTTTTGTAAGATTTCATGATATGTCTGTCAGTTAAAAGTGACAACCAAAATTGATGATTAACTTCTGGTTATGTATATGGTGTATTTAAATTTCTGAGGATGGGATGCTTTTAACGTCAAATGAATGCCTCATGTGTCCGATAAAAACACAGCACAGATTGTGAAGCTGAGGTTTCAAGCATTACGCCTTTGTAAGAAAAAAGAGGGGAATTATGGCTTCTGTGTGTGTGTTAGGGAGTACTTACATTGGGTTATTCCAGAAAAAATACACACCCCCTCCCCCGACGGATGGCAAACTGGGAATTCTTGTGGGAGGGGGGGTTTATGGCTCTGGAAATCCGGGCAGGAGGGGGCGATCTGAACCTAAAAATTCTTCCTCGGGNGGGGGGGGGGTTTATGGCTCTGGAAATCCGGGCAGGAGGGGGCGATCTGAACCTAAAAATTCTTCCTCGGGAGTCACATTTAACTTAAACCTCGATCGATACATTTTAACCACGTAAAAAAAGAACTTTGCAATGGGAAATCTTGTAGTCTTTCAGTTTATAGTGTTGTTACCTCAATTATGAAGAACCAGTGCATCGATAAGTGATAACAACAGCTTTACGACCGGAGAAAACACCATCGACTGAGCATGCAATGCCTGGAACATTTTTATGGTACCCAGTCCACCCGTGCCTGTACCCTGTAACATCCCCAAAAATGCGAAGAAAAGACGACTTAGGCTGGGAGTCAGTTGTACTTTTACTGTTTTATTCAGGCAACCCAAGAACTCGTTTTGCTGGCTAACATGTGTATGCACAATTTGCGTATAATTTCTTTCTTACCTCTTACGATGTGTAACCATAAAATCGTGGTAACGAATTTGCTTGTAGCATTGGGAATCTAAACGACCTCACAAGAGCAGAACTTGTTTATAAACAAATATACTTATTTCGGCGTTGTTAAGTTCTTTAAGTATTTCACATTGAAGATTCCTCATCGGATCTACAAGAGTTTTAAGCAGTATTATCTAGGCTGCTTCCACGTTATTATCCGAGCCTCACGATCGATATGGTAAAAGACAAGTTTATGGAAGCCAGAACGTGGGCATTACGCATGAAAACTTGAACGCTTGAAAGAAAGGCAAGAGTTCCAGTTGACCTACAGACCCATAAAGGTAACGAAATTTAAAATTAGTCTAGTTTGAAAAGCTTTCTTAATAAGCTAAGTAAATGTCACACTAACAGTACTAACAACGGGAACTTGATCTTGTGAACACGTGTCAATGTAGGCCGTCTTGTCACAGAAAACTGAAATTATAGTTTTTATTTATAATCACCGTAAGGACTTTTTTCACTGTAATTTTCTTACATTTACATAATTTTTACGGCTTACGAATTTTTTATCTTGTACTGTGGTAGAGAAAAAGGCAAATGGCGTTTTAGAGGAGAGTGTGAGATCATTCAAACATTAAACACAATCATTTGAATACTGTAATCTGATTTAAAAAATGTTGAAATTTAACCCGCAAAATTTACAATATTCGCCGAGCTTTTAAAATTATAATAAATGGGGATCTTTTGGATGAAATGTTACATCTTTTCCATTGCCTGTTGTTTCCAGTCAGGGCCTTTAAAAAAACAAGTGGAAATCCGGGCGGGAGGGGGGGTCCTTGAGCTTGGAAATCCGGGCAGGAGGGGGGCTCTAGCGGTCTGGGAAATCCAGTCAGAAGGGGGGGTCAAAAATGCTTGCCATCCGTCGGGGGTGTGTGTATTTTTTCTGGAATAACCCATTATTGTAGGAAAACAGAATGTAAGCAAGTTCTAAGAGTGTTCCAAAAAGTAAATTGTGATAAAATGCCGGAGATTGTCGGCATTTTTTATTGCTTACAGTCCACAATTGTGTTGTTTCAGAGGGTTTTTCCTGTTTGAACCCTAGAGAAAATCCCCACCCCTTGAATATGTTGTACTGACATATAGTTGCTAAGATTTTTAGCGAATTTTGCGGTATTTTGTATGTTTTTGTGAATTTCACAGGATTTTGCGGATTTACTTGAAATTTGTGGCTCTGTGGCCACACAAAATATCAGAAGCCCTGTACTTTGGAGGTTTGGATCAAATCATTTTGAAATATCTATCTGAAGGGTGAATTTACATGTAATCAAAAGAAAATTCGAATTTTCAAGTGTTTCTCTGAGAAGAGCAAGTAAAGGAGAGAGGGTTTAGTTCAATTTACAGTCTCATTATTTGAGTGGACGAGCATTTTTATGGTGTAACAATGTTACTTTTTGTCACAATGTACATTGCCTCTCTTAGGCATTACTGGACAGTCTACTACGTGTTAAAAGATGTTCTATTTCTTGCAGCTTTGTGTTATTTTAGAGCCCATGCAAGAGCTCATGTCACGTCACAAGACATACAACATGAATCCCAGAGGTACAGTTTTAATCTGAATTTCAGTTGTGAATAGTAGGTGATGCTCTGACATGCATCCATTGCTGTACAATCTTTTCTATTTGGCTGACGCCCATGGCTTGAGAGGAGAATTGTTTACTTGTGATCATAACTCCTGGCCAGAGTTTGGATATAACTGGGAGTTAGACCTTCACAAAGCAACTCTTTTTTAACAAACAACTGTGACTTTATTTTACAAATTCAGACAATAGTCCTTGGTAGCTCACAGTCAGCAAGTCTGTTCTAGAAGAACTACTTAACCTAAACAAGAAAAAACTAAAAAATATTGATAATTATACATGTTGATGCTGCATATTTAGTCAGTACATGAAGTTCCTTCGTGCAAAGAAAATTGTGTCTGATAGGCCAGGATTTTTGCAGTGGATTTTGCAGTTGAGCTAGCAGATTCTGTCCATTTGTGTCCAAATTGTGAATGGGAAAGTTTTATCATGGCTAACAGTTTAAATCTCTGAAGTCAGTTTTTTTCTAAATGCCAACAACTATTATCTTTTTTATTTTGCCAGATTGTTTAAAGTCAACCCTTTTCCAAAGATGGCAAAGAATGTGTGCGCCTCCAGGTAGGGCCTCAAAATATTGTTAATATCGGACAGAACCTCAGTAAAATTCCTAACTGGTGCGAGGCTGATCAGTTGGCTATTCACAAAGTGTGGAGGAGTTGACTGCAGGACCACCAAACCAAGACCACAAGACAGTGACCCCAGCCGGGGCGTGAACCCAGACAACTTGATCAGGAGTCGCATGCACTAACCTTTAGGCCACTGTCCCTCTCACTCCTTCATACAATCATACATACATGATACCTACATGTACAGTGTGTAGTATATTTTGCCTTGCCAGCTGATCTTGCCTCGCAAATTTATTTTGATTTTGTGCATGGATCTTGTTACAGAGTATAATCACGGTGAAATGATGTGGCAACCCAATACACCAACTACTCCAGGTAAGGACTTTTTATCCCTTGATCAAGATCAAATTCTCCCAACTTTGTTTAATACATTAGCTATGATGTTTTTGGGTAAATTTGTATTTTGATCAAAATGTTTTTCCTGAGTTGATCAGGCTCTTAATTCCCATGTCCTGTGTACTTAAAGTTGTTAGGAAAAGGTAGGGAGAAGATAAAATTTAATCACTACTTCAAGGATTAAAAGGTAAACAGATCAAATCAGGTAATGAACTGAATCTGATTCAAGATTCAAGTCACCTTTTAGGTCTTGAATTGATTGCATTTCTTTTGACGTGGACTCCTTGTTATTACCTGTGCCTCTTACACTGGCATGAGAAAATTATTTTCTTTGTTACTCCTGAAAGGAGTGACTGAGAGTTGAGTGAGGGTAAAATGCTGTAGGAGATCTGTGGAGACCATATCTTATTGGCTAAATTTGGACAATCAGTGTCAACAGTACTATATACTTAGACTATACCGTAGAAAGGCATCATCAGCGTGGAATTTCCACTCTTGAATAACAAACTTCTAGTTTGATGGATTATTGCAATGTGTGTAAAACAAATGAGTAATTTCTCAGGCCCTTTGTGCATTGAAATTGAGAAAAATCAGTTTATGGTAGCATCAGGAGTTTCATTAAGGGCCAGGCACCTGGTAAATTGACTGGTTGTGAGGACGATTTTGCCCGTCTGGATTGATCATCCAGAGGAAAGTTTTCCTCATATTTTAGAAGCTCAGTCCAAATAGTTTTGCCCACCTGTGAAAACCAGTCACCCTCCAGCTGAAAACATTAATGAAACCCCAGGTGATATGTATCTAGCTAGTACTGGTGATTTTTCTTGGCCTTAAATTGTTTTATTTACAGCCATCTTGGATGAAAAGACATTTTCCGGCTCCTTGTTGTTTTCGTCATTTTCTAACACAGTCAAGAACTGTTAAATATCATTAAATCTAACTTAAAAGATGGCTGCATCCTTAACAATTTAAGAACAAGAAAATCAGGTCCTCAATATCTGATATATACTGTTTTACACCCAAAGGATCCCCTTTTCCTAAACTTCTTGAGAGAACCTTGACTGGGCAGCCTGCTTCCAAAAAAGGTTAGCCTCAGTTCAAACTGTAACAGTGTTTGATCACAGGACGACCCTTTTGGTCTATGACAAGATCCCATTATGCCCCTTCTGTATTGAAAAAATCCTGTGTTTGTCACGACCAGTTGTTGTACAAAATTAACATCAAATTTTGCTGGACAGATTTTCAGCAGATCTTGTGGTCAAATACTGTTTTTAGAACTTTTAAAGGCATGAAAGTATTGTAGACCCATTCAAACCCAGTCCAACCAGTGTCTGTGCTGAGTGGCCTTCCATCAGAGATGAGTGACAGATCACTGGACTGTGAGGCAGATATTTTGCTGTGGCTCTAGATGCGTCATGTAGTCAATTGTTTCTACCTAAGTGTGTTGATATTCACACAGAATGTTTTCCCACTGCTTTCAGAAACAATCACCTATTTGTATAATCCTGTTAAAAGTAAATTGTTATGGTCTCGTGATTTTGCCCAGGGAATGGCTCTAAAAATATGATGATTTTGTATTTTTTCTGCCAGTAGAAAAGTGCTACATACAAAAATGAGCTTCCTGAAATCCCTTTCTTCAGTTTTTCAAGTAGTGTAACTCAATTCAATTAAGAAAATTAACGATATTTTTTCATTTAATTTTGTATGCCTCAGAGAAAATCCCTTGCAGAAAGTAATTTTACCTGGTTTTGCATAAATATTTTTCGGGTTTTCAATCTTCTGTGAGATGTTCTTAGTTGTAAGTATGTCTGCTATTAAGTCCCAAAGGACAGCAAAGTGCAGCTTACTCCCTGCTAGAACCCAGTGAATGCCATGTGACAAGTTTAGTTCAATCCAGTCTAGATAATTAAGATTTACCTTCTGATCTGTTTGTAAACTTTAAAGAATCCTGTAATGTATGCATCATAGCTTTTCCACCAATGAGCAATTCATATGGCTTGGTTTCCTTGCAGCAGAAACTCCACGAGCCCCAAGGCCAAGACGGAAACGCAAGTCAACAAACGCAAATTCATCAACGCCCAGCACCGGGATGAACAGTACCTCAAGTAAAAAGAAATCACCCAGTGCAGCTGGGTTTACACTGGCAACGCAGGATGTTATGGTTGTTGGCGAGCCATCTCTGATGGGCGGGGAATTTGGGGATGAGGATGAACGGCTCATTACAAGGTGAGCATTTGATGACGTATATTTTGAACAGGGATCAGATCCTTAGCAGAAAGTCAAAAGTCCTGTCGGATGACTTGATTAATTTGATTCAAGCATAAAGTTATGCAGCATTTTGTTGATTAAGAGGATAAAAACCATGGTGATTGCACACAAATGGTTCAGTCAGCCAATCAGTCAGTCCATCTGTTCATCCGCCTGTTTATTATCTGCCCATCTGTCAGTCAGTCAGTCAGTCAGTCAGTCAGTCAGTCAGTCAGTCAGTCAGTCAGTCAGTCAGTCAGTCAGTCAGTCAGTCAGTCAGTCAGTCAGTCAGTCAGTCACACAGTAAATGGTTTGAACCCTGGAGTATCATTCGTTTGAAGTGTGATTGACTGGTGAGAGTAGCTCTGAATAGAACTGTTGTTGGTGGCTGACGTCTTGCCAACCTGAGCAGAAGTCATCTTCAGAGTCAAGTGAACAGTAACAGTGTTTGTCAGTCGGTGATTTGTTAGTCTGGTCTGTTGAAACGGTCTGTTGAAACCGTCTGTCTGTCTGTCTGTCTGTCTGTCTGTCAGTCAGTCTGTCAGTCAGTCAGTCAGTCAGTCAGTCAGTCAGTCAATCATTCAGAGGCTTGAGCCACATTGTAATCCAGGGATATATTATGAGGCTTCAACTTGACAAAAAATGAGGGTTTTTTTCGTTTTTAAGGCATACTATAGCCTTACAAATTTTGGTTTCCTAAGACTTTCAGATAGTTTTATTACTTGGCCCGCTTAGGTCTGAAAGTTGTGAAAAGTGCACCAGTAAATAAAAATAATGCTTTCTGTTCACTTCAAAATACAGATTGGGTTATGAAGATGGTGATAGTGGTTTTCCTGACTTTTCTTCGGTAAGTGTAGATCCTCCCTCACATTTTAATTGACCTCTGACAAAGTTATGAATAGATGATGAAAAACCTCCACATTGTCATACAGTGGAAAAATTGGTTTGCCAAACAGCGAACAACAGTTTTGAGTTATACCGCATGAAGTTCAAAGGCTGTGAGGAAGTTTGGTGAAGTATCCCAACTATAAATAGAAGAATTTTTGGTGCAAGGTTGTTTGAAACTGTGTTTCCTCCAGTAAATTTTCTTGCTTTATGTACAATAGGGTCGTTTTTTTTTTTTTGTAAAAGATCATTTTTGTTCTTTACGAGTTATTTTTATTTTGTCAGAGGGAAATTGAAGAGGGAGGATTTACCGAAGGAAGCTCAGAACACTTGCATTAACTCTTTTCAAATTTAAGGTCAGATCATACATTCTCTTAACTTGATAGCTTACATATGATGTGACTCGCTTTAGGAGAAGTTGATTCTAAAGGACCTTTGTGGCAATACATGTATGCAGTGCAACTTCATGTACTGTAAACAAAGTGACGTAGACAATGATAACTCATCACGTTACCGTGTAAATAATTTCCACTTTATTGAACAAGCTGAAAAGTTGTTTTGCACTAAGGACTGAACAGCTCAAAGAATTCAAGTTAGAATTCGATTTCTTATATTCTGCAAGGTGGTTTCGTCTTTTGTTGAGCAACTAACCCCAGCAGTAGTAGCTGCGGTGTAATAAATTAATTGCCAGTTTTGTAATACGCATTTTTTACAACGAACAGAAGCATCTTGAAAAATAGCGGTTTATTAAGGTAGAAAAACTTTAGAGACAACAATACTCAAAAAGGTTTGAGGAAAATTGAGACAGATCGTGAACGAAGAACGTGAACAATAATTATTCAACTGGTATGCTGTCGGTGACAAATATACTTTAAGCAAATACAATTTTCCTGAGATAATCAGCATGATTAATACTCATATTCTGGTTACTTGAATTTTAAAATTTTATGCTTTAAAGCTGTTATTGTAGTGTTTTTGTTGTTGTTGTTGTTGTTGTTTGTTTTTTTTGGTGTTATGAGCACAGATGATCAGCTTTTCTTCAGCAATATGCCTTGAATTGTTCAATCTACTTTTGTCGACCTGGCAAACTTGATCAACTTGTTCTGGAAGACCTGGTAACCTGCTGTTTTCAACCAGATCAATCCGCTTTCGTTGAGCTGTCAAATTACAGCGATCTTTTACTTCTGTGTTTGCATTGTCTAAATGTGATTTTGAGATTGCTCACATCACCATGCAGTGATTGCAGTTTAAGAGTATCCCTCTCAACCAATCAAATTGCTGAACTCCTTTGATTTCTCTCTCTTTCCAGGCTGGAGAACACTCAGTATGATGCCAGCAATGGCGTCGGCGACGACGGAGACTTTGGTAACAGTCCCCCTATGAGTGGAAGCCCTGGTCTCTGGACTGGAGACCGAAAACCAAACCAAGAGGACAGTACAGGAGACTAACATGACGTGGCTTGCATCCATTCAAAATGGGCATCGTTATTTATCCTCGCAGATGCCCGCTTTAATATTGCGCTTTCTTGATCTTACATGTCCTGAGGACATTTCAGTACAGTGTACATGAGGTCGCATGAACTGCCGACCATCGTTTGTAAACGGTCACTCTCTAAAAGAGTTTAAATGTAGAGATTTTATGAGGGTTGTTTAAAGTTATTTATGTTCTTTCTGATCATCTTCTCGCTGCAGATGTAATGTCGACCCGTCGTTACCCTCTTGTATTCTCTTTTTATTAGTAGAGTTTATCAACATAAAGTATTTTGCATCCGTTTTGTTTCTGTTTTTTTTTGTTTTGTTTTGTTTTTGTTTTTTTTGTTTTTTTCATGGAATAAAAAAGTTCTTTATCTTATTGGTGTTAAAAAAGAGGTTGTAGAAACAATGATTTATCACAGCCCTGCTGGTAGCACGGGTGCTATTTGTGACTCTGAAACAGTTATCAAACTACTTTATCCAGTCACGTATTGCTCTACAGACTAAAAAAAAGTCAGTTAGTGAACTGTACGTCAATGGTGTTTTTGTGTTCAGCACCCTTAAATGTTGCGTAGCAACGTCGAGCAGACTTGGTCGTTTCTCCAAAACAAATTTCTAGAGAAAAGCATTCCTATATTTCCAGTCTGTAATAAGAACGGTCTTTACAGCATTAGAGTATTGCTCGATTTCTTATAATGGCAAACTTTTTTCTGGTATAGGTATGATTGCAAGGAGAGAATTTCCCTTCAATGCTGTCCTGATTGCAAAGAGTTCTAATTATCCACTCAATTATCTAGTCTCCGAAGAAATAACCTAAACAAGCAGAATGTATTCGTTCTATTTGTTTGTTGTTGTTTTTTTTCCTTACAGCCTTGCAAAATATTTCTTCAAAACAAATGTAGCTCTCTCTCTTTCTCTTCGAAGTTAAGGAAAAGGAGAAAGGTCTAAGTCTGCCAGCATTTGTGACGAGATTTTATCAGAAGACTACCAAAATGCCTGCCTTTTTTGAACTCTTCAAACCCACTTTAGCAATGTTAGAAATAGTCAATACCGTACGTGTAATGTGTCAAAGCTTGAAGCTCGGCGTATACAGCATTCCTAACCATTGCAAATTATTTTAGTTTTGTTGTACAAAGAACAAAAATCAAAGTAACAAAACGCGTTATCTTATTCCATTCAATAAATAAAGGTTATACAAAATACATTAACGCCACTTAGGCCTGTTTTGTTTGTTTTTATATTATTTTGTTTTTGTTATAGTTTCTTTTCACTCATTTTTTGGTTTGTTTTTTAAATTTCAAATTTTCCTGAACGGGTTAGGTTCCGGTAGTGATAACGAAGTAGGAAACCATTTTTCGTGTTTCAGTTGAGTTACAAACACTTGTGAAAGTTTAGGGGAACTTGGAAAAGATGTGAAAACACTTGCTTGCAGATGGTGTACCCAGACCATTTCTCATTCTTCTAAACTAACTCGTTTCTTAAAATTGATAGAAGTATGTAAAACTTTTGTTGCTAACAGTTATCTGAGTCAAACAGGGAGATGTTCGTTTTATAATGTTGGATTCCAGACGTCTTTAAGCAAACAAATTTGGGGTTTTTGATGTAATGCATCAAAAACGACTTTTCCAAACATCGAGAAGAGAGTTCAAAATACGACGCGTAGCGGAATATTTTCAATCGAAACTAAAACTAAAGAGAAAACGGAAAAATAAAATCGTAAAAATTTGTGCCAAAGGCCACTTCCGAGAGTCCTCTTGCCTGTGTGAAAACGAGTCTTCGCGCTAAACCATTCAAGTGAAAGTGAGTTCCGCCTAGAGTTTCTTCATTTTCATATGAAAGGTTTTGAATGAGGATTCGTTTTGAAACAGGTAAACTATTGTTGTCAACTCTCGCCTTGCGGAAACCCCGCTATAACGGACACCCACGGGCAGGGGAAGGTACATCCCCGGCCGAAGCCACAAAGAAGTGTGTGAAAACAACTACCACTATTACGGAATTCAAACACTTCAGGCGGTCCGTCTGAAACTAACATTTCTGTAGTTCTCCTCTCGTTACAACTGACATCTTGGACGTATTGAATGACATAATTCCCCTGCGGTTTTGGAATGTTTACTAGTCTGTACTCTATTTTGACTTACATTATATGATTATGAATCGAGGCAAATGTGTACTGCAGATTAAAAGAAACTGGAAATCGTAAGAGTATAGTAGTACGAGACACTTCATAACCGACCAAACGTTGGGTCATTTTGATCACACACCGCAATTGCGGACTCGCTACTACCGGCACCAAATGAAAGTCCCGAAGGTGTCCGCTAGCTATAAGAGTTGATTGCAGTTTGAGAAACCTGCATGCATCACTTACGATTGGATGAATTCTAACATTCGTTTCTAGGGCTTGCCTGGTCGGGAGTTTTGGTGGTGATGAATGTAAATCAACGTGTTTAAAAGAACAAAAAAAA